AGGTTACGTGTACTTTGCAAAGCTTTTGGTTGTGGTCTTAAGCATTATTGTGATACTTGTCACCAGGGAATTTTTGCCAAAGTTGTACTCTTATGCCCAGATCACGGGGACCCCCAAAAGACCACCATGGAGACTGAATCCCACATGTAAAAGCAAAGAACCTTTATTTCAAGCTCTGGAGCTTGGTCCCTCTGTCTGTCCAATGCAGTGGTGAGAGCAGAGAGCCTTGAGCTCAGGTGGGGCAGAGTTTTTATCCTAGCAGAGGTTGGGGTGAGGGGATTTCCAGGGTCTAGGACCCTGATTGGCTGACAATTGTCTAGGGGTATCTGTAAAACAAAAAATAAGTGTGTGCTAGACTCAGGGACATCGGGCTACCTTATCTAATGGTTGGAATGTTTCTGATGTTAGGCACTTCCTCACTCCTGGGTGGATTCCTAGGTGGTATCAGCTTAAGGCTTTTCCTGGATCTGGGTATTGCCTGCCAGTAAGCCTGTCACAGAGGCTGTGTCTAGGACCCTAAGCCTGTCATGGCTGCTGTTTGGTCAAGCTATTTTGGGGCCCCTTCACAGTACAGTGTTTAAATATGTCAAAAGTAAACTGGTCAGAAGTTTAAAGCTTAAACCAACCCCCAACCGTGACTAACTAAGTTGTGTTGAACCCGATTTCTTTCTTGCCTTATGCCAGCCATGGCATTTGCAGGGACACCCTACACTAAATAATATCAAATTCCGTCGGGCAGTGATGGCACACGCCTTTAATTCCAGCACTCGGAGGCAGAGGCAGGCGGATTCCTAAACTTCACATTTCTCCTTAGTTTCTCCCTACCTCCAAGTTCACTTGCTAGTCAATTTATTATAATACTTAAGTGCACCAGGGCTCCCTCCATCTGTGATCTGCCCATTGATAGTTCATTCTTCTTTTATTATTTTCCCAGTAAAATAAAAATTGTTGCTTTTTTTTCCTTCAAGAAGACATTTGATTTTTTAAAACTACGTCGGAAATACAGCAGATTTAAGATATTTAAGACAAAACTGAAATCTGATTTCCTTATCAACTGCCAGTATACTGCATAGGAGGGCACGGCACATTTTCTGCATAAAATTTAACTCATGAAAACTTTATGTCTCTTACTATAATATTTTGACTTGCTTACAAATTTCTTCCTGATTCATCGCAGTTCTTCCATTGGTGTTTGTCAGGTCCCTTCAGGCAATGTCAGCGCCTAAAGAAAGCAGAGGATTGTCAGGATGATTCCTCCATTCTCAAGCTTCAAAACAGGTTACAAAACTTGTATTAAAGGAATAGTTTTGAAGAGAAAAGAAGATTCTGCGCTCTGACTTCGTGCTGTCTGAGCTATGGCCTGCATTCATGATTTTTGTCTCACATTCACAGTAGTTGAGAGATTCAGAAACCCTCAAGTCAGTCCAACACCTCGTTCACCCTCACCCTGTTTTTAGTAGCACATCTAAGTATCTCTGGGTTATTCTAACATGTCTCAACTTTAGTACCATTATGTTCGTCTAAACGACCAGACTCTCCTGTCTGGGTTCCACAGGGCTGCAGGCATTGCTATAAATTTCTCTTATTCCTATGTGGCTCTTTTCATAACTACTGAAACCTGCACTTAGAATTATGCTTTTAGAGCACAAGTATTAGCTTATTTTAAAAATTTAGCACTCCTAAGAAAATTCTCTTTACCTTGGAAATGGAAAGGAAAAAATGGCTGTGGTGCCCTACAGAGTGCCTTAGTCCCACAGTCAACCTAATAAAAACAGAAAGATAAGACAGTTATAGCTAGGTCTACGGGAATGGTAGCAAAGATGTGGACGTGCCCTAAAAGAAGAGGGCGAGTACCAACCGACACTAACCTGAGCACCAGCCTCTCCTGTCCCACAGCTGTATGTGGTCTGAGGGGTGCTGAAGATACTGGAGTTGTAAAGTTAACTGAAACTGGTACTCCACTGAAGCAGCTTTTATGAGGCAGCCACCCATGCTGAGATGGAACTGTGGAGCGATGAGGCTGCCTTGAGATGGCCATGTTTCTGTGGGTAATCCCAGTAAAGTCATTGCTCCGAGATGGATTTGGGTGGAATTATTTCTTTTGTCTGCTGTCAGCATCCTATCTGAGGTTAATAACTGTCCCGTCCTCCCCCCAACCCCCCGCTTCTTGTGGTCAGGGGGAGTCATAAAACAAATACATACATTTTACAGGAGTGGTTCCATTAGTGAAACATGACAGTGTGAATAAGGTTGTGATTCTTGCTTCCTTTATTGTAACATTGTGAGCAGTGTGTCTGCCTCCTGACAGGCTGTTTGGAAGTTCTTCTACACTCAACACACTTTGAAGGGAAATGATAAGCAGCTAGATGTGGACAACTGTGAGCACACACATCAACCTTCCGATGGTTGACGGCAGATTAAGAAAAAACAGAAGTACAGAGTGTAAGTGAATGGGTTGGTGGCTTTTAAAAGCCATTCTGATTCCCTCTACCCAATGGGATCTTTATTCCTTTAAAATAAGTTTTACTTCATATTTATTCTACCCCCTACACTCCCCCCCAAATCTCTCTTTCTTGAGATTATGAACTTTTCTTTGGAATAAGAACAAAAGGAAATTTCAACAAGTATTTTTCTCACGTCACTTAAAACCATTAAATTCCTTTTCTTTAATAGCTTAATTAATTCACTCTGAATGAAAGATAATTTATTTAATGTCTTACTGATGTTCAATTGACTTTTTTATTATAAACATGGAGTTTGGTACTTACAAATCTTTTTGTGCATTTTCGGTGATGTTTTTGTGGGCAGATATTGGGGTTTGGTGAGCACCTCTAGTGGGGTGCCAGGGTCTCATGTCCTGGAGTAAGGAACTGGAAGTCACTCTTTCCTCTATTTTCCTGCCTCCATTTCTTATAATCTTTGATATGATGTTCTGCTTCAACATATTTTTTTTTTTTAAATAAAGCAACTGATAATATGGTCAAATTATCTAAATTGCCTTCTGGAAATTTTCTGTTAATTAAAACTTCCATTAGAATGGATTTAATTTTCTGGCTTTTCCTGTAATTAAAAAGAGGTAAATGTCTTGGGGAAAGACACTGCTGAACGGCAGACTCAGGCTACCTGCTCAAACTCAGTGGCCATGTTCCTCCTGGCTCTTCCTCCTAAGACTTTCTATCTCCGCTACACAAACGGCGCTGAGAAGCCCCCATGTGACAAAGACACGAGGCGGCACTTGCCGAGTCTGCAGGCTTACAGCAGCTACTGACTCCTGCTACCCTGATAACAATATTGATGGTGCTATTTCTATTTCTGTCTGGTTTTGGCACCAATGACAGCCAGTTCTGCAAATGCTGAAGCTGTTTCCCACTGCCAACATGTTCTAACGATCGCTGCAAACTGCCAGCTGCAGCTCCAGAGGGACAGATTTTTCTGATATTCCTGTCTTTAGGAATGTGGGGGAAAAGGAATTTACTAAATGGATGTGGATTGGAAGCTAGCAACATAGAAGGCTTAACTTTCCCAGTCCTGTGTCTTCTTCCTGAGCTGGCATCCTGCACTTCCGGGGAAACACTCCCGGTTTGCTCTCTTACCAGGTATTCTGTTGTTTATACTGTGGACATTACACCACAATTAAAAAAAAAAAAAAAACGACCTGGTGGGTTTATTATTTGTCTTAAGAAGCCAGAGGAAAAATGCTGACCTTGCTTCCTTGCTTCCTTTGAGGTTTCTGACAGGTCTACCCACGGAATGGGTACTCCCCAACAGTCGCTGCGTTTGGCACGCTCTTCTCTGTAAAAGGCTCTGATCAGAACCACAAGGGGAGTGGAAAAGCTGCTTGGAATTAGCAGCCAGAACCAAACTCAGCCAGTGACAAGGCAACTGCCTCTCTGGGGTACTGTGGAAGTGGGAGTAGGCAGGTTAATTGCACGCCACAGTCCCCAAGGCCACCTGGCCGGCCGTGGAGTTCTCATTTATTTCTGCAGTGGCCCTGTCAGGTTGATTACATACTGGAAGACGAAGCTGTTCTGCACAGGTTTTGGGAGCAGGTCAGCTGCTTTGCTCTTGGGAAGCACTAATGACCAGGAATTAGAGTGTCAGGAAAGTTCCAGGCTTAGTTGTCTACGCTCCTCAGCTCCAGGCAGTGTCTATTCGTCTTAAAGAAAAAGTGGAAAATGGGAAATTGGATCATGGTATTTAGCCTTAAATAATAAATATGTATACCACTCTCTGAGGTCTTATTTTAGAGACTTTGAATCAAATTGTCTGCAATTCTCCAAACCTTACTACCTGGCTATTTTGGTTTCTGGTTATTTAAGGAAGAGGTTCTGAGGACTTCAGGGATTTCCTCTAGAACACTCAGCTAAATCAACCAAAGCCAAGATTTTATTCAAGACTGCCTGATGCCAGGTCCTGGGCCCTTTCTCCCAGGAAATATCTTTCCATGGCCTTCATCCTCATCACCACCGAGAACATTGGGTATATCTTGTGTAAAAACAGTGGGTACCATGATAGAAGGAAGCACAGCAATTTGGGTGAAGACAATGTCAGCTAGATATGTTAGCGTAGGGAAAAAGATATAATTATTATTTATGTAGAGATACTAACATAAGGAAGATCACTATACTTAAAGCTATTAAAGCGCCGTGGTAAAGAGCTACACTACTTTTCATTCCTCTTGGCTCAGTGTCTATAACTCCTGCCAAGTTCTTCCACTCTGCATTACCAAGAGCTTGGAGATCAGATCGCGTGCTCTCTTGTCTACAAACTGTCCACACGTGTCCATTGCCTTGGTGATTAACCCAAACTCCAGCAGTGAAAGGAGTTCTTCCCTTTCACCACTTTCTTCCCATCCTCTCTCATCTACCCTTCCCTTCCCAAAGCCCTTCTGCCTCTGTCTCCAAGCCATTTTGCATCGTTGCTGCTTCCCAGAGCATCTTCTCTTGCTCACTTCCCCCTCCTCCGACTTCCATCGCCAGAACTCAACTATTCTCAGAGCATTGCCTGCCTAATCATCCTCATTACTTCTCCTGAGGCCGAGAGTTCTTTTTGTTGCTCCAGGTTGGCGCTGAGTGTGGGTTGCCTGCATCCTGCCGAGATGTGACTTGGTTAGCTAAAAATTCTCTCTAGAGAGACTGTTAGCTCCTCATTTAACTCAATAACACCTATTAGATAGTTAACATACACTAAAGTCAAAGAATCAGAGAAAGTATGAGTTGGGATCTTTCCGGTCATTTCTATCGTCTTCCCTTTCTTGGTACAGGAAGCTAAAAGACTATTGGATTACTTTGCCTGAAAATATATAACTGATTTAAACAGGTTCATTTTCAATTCTATATTGAATGTCCAAGCTCCTCTTGGAGACTTATTTTAAAATATTGTTTAAAAATTTTGCATACCACATCTGAACTTCTTTCCTCAATTCTATGAACTCCTTTCATTTAAATTAAAATATAGTTATATCATTCCCCCATCCAACCGCTCCAACATACTCTACTCATACTCTGTCTCAAATTGATGGCCCCAGCCTTATCTTTAATATGTACATAATATATACAGATATAATATTACATATGTTTTTTGTAAATCTACCTTTAAAAATATATATAAACACAATATTCTTAATTCATATAATGTATTTGTATGTATGTAATTTCAGGGCTGATCATTTGTATTAGACGTCATTAAGTAAGAAAACCTAAAAGAAGTAGATGAACTTCTGGATTCATGCAGAGCACCAAAGTTAGACTAAAAAGAGAAAAAAAAAAACCTAAACAGACTCATAACAAACGAGGAGACTGGAATAGTAATAAAAAACCTTCTGACTAAAAAATGTGCAGGCCTAGGTGGATTTACAGCATAAATCTACCAGATTTCTGAAGAATATCTATAGCCAAACCTTCTAAAATTATTTTTTAAAAATAGGAACAGAAGGAGCACTCCCAATCTCCTTTTATGAAGCCAGTATTACTCTAATACCAAAACAAGGTAAAGACACAGCAGCAAAAAAATTATAAGCTGTCATTGCTGATGAACATAGATTTAAAAAAATCTTCAATAAAATACTTGCAAACCAAATACAGACACGTGTGTGTGTGTGTGTGTGTGTGTGTGTGTGTGTGTGTGTGTGTGTGTGTATAGCTAGTTTTATGCCAACTTGGCACAGCTAGAGTCATCTGAGAAAAGAGAACCTTGTTAAGAAAGAGTATCCAGAAGATCTGGATGTAGGGAATTTTCTTAACATGTAGGGAAGTTTCTTAAT